CAGGAGATGAAAGGCTTGCCTTGGAAGAATTATAAGCCAATCACCACACAAAAGTGGGCAAGGAGGTACCCGTCCCCGATCACACCATGTCCACGGTGCCAACTGGTGCCACAGCACAGAAAGTTCTAAAACCAACCAAATGGGTAGTAACCTACAAGGAAAATAAAGCAAGCACATATACTCAAAGAAGGAATCCTACCCATACACAGTGTTAGTCTGTGTTTCACATTACTTCAGCAAATTAGAAAGACACTTTTCAGGTTTTCATCTAGGAGTACATTTAAATATTTATTTAGATCATTATTTATTCATTTGAATTGTCTCCAATTATTATAGCCGTGCCTGGTAGTCCTCCTCTCTGCGCTCTATTGCTAAAGGGATTGGTCACATTTCCCATTACCAGCTCCTACCTAAGGGGATTTATGGCTGCTGCAAGTAGCTGCTCTGGGCTGAGCTTTGGCACAGTGTTCTAACCCCAAAGCATATTTGTGTTTCTGTTTTGAATTCTAAGGAGTACATTAAACACACACACACACACACACACACACACACACACACACACATTTATGCTCAGGAGTTTATCTGGCTAACTTTACAGAGATTTTTAAAATTGTTATTATTTCTATATTTGGTTACTCAGAAGCAGCCAATTTTTCTTTTAGAGTTCACACTATTTTTCTAGGCCCTTCAACTTGAGACTTTCTTAAGGGCTGCCACTTCTCAGCTGTTCAAAGTGTGATTAGAAAACGCACACATACATACTCATTTGCAGAGTACATAATACTGCACAAGTATTGTGCCACTACATTACCTCATTCAACCCTCACTCATCCTAGCCCATAAAGATTGTTTATGCCTTTCCCCAGTGAGAATATTGCCAATATTCCCAGTGAGATAATGCTTAATAGTTTACATGGATGGTACTCCATTAGATCCTCACAAACACACAGTAAAGTAGGAATTTATTGATGAAGAAACTGATTCTCAAAGTTATGTGACGTGCCAAGGGACATGGTTAAGCTGTGGCAAATTCAGAATCAAAAGCAGCTCTTCTGACTTTTAAGCCTGTGCTTCTTTCTACTATATCCCAAGTGTTTTCACCAAAAATGTATACTTATAAATTCAAGTTTTCATGTTACCTTATCACACCCTATTCTATGACAAGGTCAAAGGCCCAAGGGATTCTAATCTTGGCTAAGGCACAGAGGACTCAGTTGATGGCTGTGATGACTTATACTTGCTCTACTCAGATCCAGCTCACATTTATCACCTACCCTAAACTAGTAGTGAATTATTCTTAAAGCCACTGAATTATACACTAAAAATGCTTAAAATGTAAATTATGTTAGGTATATTTTACCACAAAAAAGTGAACTAAAACTGTTTTTGCTCATATCTCCCAAACTAATAGATCTCATGTCTCAACATCTAACAAGTACATATTAGAGAAATGGTGTCCAAATGGTCTTCAATCTATAGAATGTCATGTCTGATATCCATAAGTCTATGCCATGTGCTCAGCAAATCAGAAAGAAAAACATAATTCAGAATAAAAAACCGTAAGTGATATAGTAATATCTAGGGTATTAGTCTGGCAATAAGCATCCCAGTATCATTTCTTGAGTAACTCTAAAATAACTTACTACATTTTACAATAGGACTCCAACACCCTGCCCTCCCAAGCTTATGACAGAATTTGACAATAATTACTCATAAGACTTTTCCCGCTGACTTTGAAATTCAACACACTTTTCTAGCCCTAGCCAGTTTGGTTCAGTAGATAGAGCATTGGGCTGTGGGCTTAAGGTTCCCAGGTTCAATTCCAGTCAAGGGCATGTACCTCAGTTGCAGGCTCCTTCCCCCGCTCTGGTTGGGCACATGTGGGAAGCAACCAATCCATGTGTCTCTCTCACATCAATATTTCTCTCTCTCTCCCGCCCCCCCCCTCTAAAAACAACAACAACAAAAAAAAAACACAAAAAACCACAATGGAAAAATATCCTCAGGAGAGGATTAATACACACACAAAAAAATACTCTTCTAAATGGCCGGACCCTGCTTAAAAGAGAAAAAAAAAAGAAACCTACTCGCTATCCTTGTCATTCCACTTTGAGCAAACATAAATTTTAGAAAGAAGTTTCTATAATCAAGACTTGTGTGATTCTAATCTTGGCTAAGGCTACTAGGCTGATTCTATTAAACCCAATCTAGGGCTTCTTGTGGTTCCTAACTTTTGGGAGAAAAAAGTCTCTTCTATGCAGTCTGCTCTAGGTTTAATCATTCCCCACATCTTTTTTTAGGATCTTAAAAAGGAGTGTGATGTATTTTTTTTTAAGTGAAAAGGGAGTTAGAACACATGAACTAAAATTACAGTAAATCAATGCCTTATTTTCTTACATGTAAAATTAGGGGTTTCAGTGTTCATTGGTTTGTTGATTGTGTTAAGTACAAAACTTTCCAACCTAACAAAATCTCTCAAGAAGTCAGGTCAAAGCAGAAGTGTTCTAGAATTGGTCTGCCTGCAGAGCAGCTGGGGAGCCTGAGTGAGCCCACTATTGGCTGCCATGTTGTGGGGAGGACGTCGCAAGGAGACAATCTGAAAACCAGTCAAGAAGACATAAGCCTGAGGTCACCTAGCTCTAATCCTTAATAGAAATAATAAACAAAACATGCAAATAAGTGTCATTACATGTTTCAAATAAGGGTCATGAATTAGATTCTTAAAAAGAATTTTTCTCAAAAATACTAATTATGCTATCAGATTAAAATAGGACATTAGCTTATTTCTTAGTAAATTATTTAAATAAGCACTCAGACATTTCAGGAGTCCCAAAAGATGGGGAACATGAAGTTAAAGCATATTATCTACTTCCTTTACTATTATATAAGCTGTTATATTTTTAAAAATATGCTTTTATTGACTTTTAGAGAGAGAGGAAGGAAGAAGGAGAGATAGAAACATCGATGAGAGAGAAACATCAATCAGCTGCCTCCCGCATGTCCCCTACTGGGGATATGCCCTGACCAGGAATTGAACCGGCAACCTCTCGGTGCATGAATCCATGCTCAACCACTGTACCACACTGGCCAGGCAATATTCTTGTCTTTTATTTATTTTTTCCGTCTTCATTGAGATATAATTGACATATAACACTGTGTAAGTTTAAGGTATATAATGTGATAATCTGATATATATATACATATATTGTGAAATTATTACCACAATAAGGTTGGTTAACAATTCCATCATCTTGCAGTTATCATTTGTGTCTGTGTGCGGTGAGAACCTTTAAGATCTCTCAGCTACCTTGAAATACACAATACACCAAGTTTCTTCATTCTAAGTAGATCACATTTTATTGGCATCAGTGATAATATAACTCAGTGAGAACACATGTTCCTGGAGCTTAAAATTCCTGTCTGTCCCTCATAAATCTTACCTCAAGAAGCTCATCCTCTGGCTGAAGGAGGCTCAGCGTGTCAATAGGACCACCTGGAACGATCGAAGAGATATAATGATGCCCGTCAAAGGAATCCACTTCCATGCCAAGCCTCAGAGTGTGAATGGGCAGGAGCTGTAGCAAAATACAAAGCAATGATATCAAACACCATGAGGACACATCTGGCTACTAATCCTCCATCAGGTATTTGACAGAAAAGCCCCACCCCTTAAGTCCGATCACCAAAATCCATAGGAAAACCAGCCTCAAGTAAAATATGAGGTTGTCTTCTTATTCTCATTCCTCTTCTCATTTTAGATTTCCTGAGAATAAAGAAGCAGATGTACAAAGTTCTGCCTTCAGTTCTAAGCTCTGGCACTCCAACCTCCCCAAGTTCCCAGTGTCAATTCTGCATTTCACTTTTCTGTAGGGTTTCCCATCTCCCAGAACACCCTAACTCCTCTTTATCATCTCATTAACTTCCACGAATGCTTCAAAACCAAAACAGTGTCACTTCCAGAAAGCACTCCCTGATATCTGAGTTAATCTGCCTCCAACACCACCCTGTGCACACTGCCATCACAGCTCACTAGACTGTGTTCAAAATTTCTGTTTTCTTGATTGTTCCCTCTGCTTGAGTACAGAGTCATTTATTTCTCTGTGTATCATTTCTCTTTATAACCTCAAGCCCTAAAACAGTTCTAGGCACTAAACATGGGCTCATTAAATGTTATTTGACTATAATTGAATTTTTTAAGTTAAAAACAATTATTTGAACTAATCCATGAAAAAGGGTACCTCATTTGAGATATCCTTCTTAAATACAAACAACTTCTAATTTGTGGAGACGTATGGGTGTGTAATAGGAGAGGTAATCATTATTCTATCATGAGATTGATGCTGTTGGTTTAAAAGGATTTATGAGCTAAGAAATGTGTCAAGAGCTAAGAATCTAGCCAATGCCAATGTAAAGAGATGAGTGTCTTGGTGTCATTGGCTGCGAAGGTCAAAGGCATTCACCAAATTCCATGCCTTTGACTTTCAAAGACTGGGCTAATAATTTCTCATTATTAGCTTCTTTCTTAGTCAATTATTTAAATAAGCACTCAAAAATTTCAGCGGCTCTATAAATTCAAATATGGCAAATGGTTCTAATTATGATTTCTATTTCCTATATCAATAGTCTGTGTATCTACAAATACCGGGTCTACCTCTCACTGTATACTTGATAAGGAGAAAGCCCCATACAAGA